GTGTGGTAGTGTGTGTGTGTATAGTACGTATATATATATATATATATATATATATGTATGTATGTATGTATATGTATATGTATATATATATATATATAAGCGTGTTTTTGTGTGTGGATGTGTATGTATGTGCAAATGAATGTTTGTGCGTGTTTGAACAGAACTATTTATGTTTTCTATTGATGTGCTCAACATCTATACTGTAGGATATTCCTTGCTGATCAGTAAAAACACTCTACCTCCATTCCCAGTCACTCCCGGGCGATCGAGTTCAAACTTCACCAGAGGGTGAGCGGGGGTGCCCAAATAGTAGAAGCACCTTGTGCTTGCAATCGCCAGCGTGTGAATAATCCTTGCATTGGCGATATTTTTAAACATAGGCTGCTTGGTAACAGCATGCGAAAGACGAAAAATAAATAGATAGCTACAGGAGATGCTTCCAGTGTATTGTGTTTTTTTGCTGATTGCATTTTAGCCGAGGCGTATGAGTTAGTCTTTTTTACTTAAGGACATGGTGGCTTGTTTGTGGTGAGACTGGCGACAGGCTGATGGATATGGCTATACGTACACGTTTATTCTGAAACGCATATATAGCCTGGCTTTACAACCATTGTCTTTTGATAAGGTTTCAGTCTCGTGCGTCGTCCATTATTATATACATGCATGCATCATTTCATGAAACAAGGGTTGGTCGGTCAGGTGAACCAATGACACACAGGACTTAAACACAGACTCGGTGAGGTGATCTCATACTCCTAAAGTGTTCTTTTTGGTTCATCGCGAACGCATGTTATGTGCGATGTGTATTTATGTACACTAGACTACACAAGCTATGGTTGATCAACTCCATGATGTACAACGAAAGAAACGACGAGAAGGTGTATGCTGCAGACTATCGCGGTAGAGTATTAATATGTATGTATATCAGCGCGTACTGCATAGACCTACAAATGGAACGTTGGAGCTTTATATTGTACAGTATCGTGAAATACACTATATGCTACGATAAGTTTCTCATCGTATGCACAGTGCCATGCACAGAGTCACAGTCATCTGAAGCGGTGCATACATATGTGCCCTCTGCCAGGATTGAAGATTCATCAGTGGGGCAATAGCTATAAAAATAAACAATTTCTTATGCTAGGGACCGTCCACCACACCACCAACCCACTTGCAGTGCTTGACAGAGCCACGGGCCGCCTGATGCCTTCAACCCTGACCACTGAGTTGGAAAATATTTGTCAGCAGTTGGGAATATACCTTTACCGTTGGCAGGTGTAATAGTAATAATCTCTCGTCGACACCGCCCACCAAGCGGTCAGTCCGTTTGCAGTTCTTGTCAGACCCGCAGTCAGCCTTATGTCCTTATCTCTGTAATCAGTTGCGCGATACTTGTCAGCATGTTAGTCTGGGTATTCTCAGTGAACGCGACGCTCGCGGCTTATAGGACCATCGACACGAGTATTAGGCATGTCACCAGAGATCAGTATTAATATACTAGTATTGATAATATTACTCTTTAATATTCAATGTATTCTACATACCGTCTTACACTATAGGGGTATATTAGGCAATTTCGGATAGTTCCGATTTTCGCGTTTAGAGGATGTAACTTTGCCGCCTTTTTAAATGTCCAAACTTGTCCCATGTGTATTTTGACGCTTGACGCAGTCGGCTAAAGCCTAAAAACACTAGCGTGTATCGTTTTTCTATCAAACGTAGCTGCATTGTTCAAGTTTTATTGATGATATATCAATGAACTAGTAGTTGTGATTTTCATGACTCTCGCCGCTGTTGCGCTCTCAATACCTATTTTGGTTCTCGTTATTGCGCCCCGAGTGCTCGAACGTCGATTATTTGCGCGTACCGGTGAAGAGGGTTCCGCAGAAAATTTTAGGTGATCCACAGTGGAATGTAATGGAATGTCATGAATGTAATGGAATGTAATGGTTCTGTCCTCGATCAACTTCAGTTGATGTATACTATACAAACGCTCTACTGTAGTCGGTACATACTCGGTAGTCTAGTGCCTTTATTTTTTAAGCTATTACCATTGGTTCATCATTGGTCCATCACATATGCCCTTTACTCCACACCTTATGAGAGCAATGGAGCATAGCAACTGCAAATCTAAGATGGTAAAAATCCTGACGTCATGACTTCAATTGTCAATGTGACATTCGTTCGTATGTAAAGTTAAAATAGAATGCTTGATCCTGCATATTTCAGCTCGTGTTCAATATTACTACACACAGCTACTGTCATATCTCGTTCTATACTTTTCCGCACCAGCCTTTGTAAAAGTTCAATTTTATTCGTCGTCATACAATTAGTTCACGTTACATGCATTTGTATTTAAAAATGATAATTGTGATAATTGTGGGTGTATTTCGTACCTAACAAGTTACTTGAAGCGATCCTACGTGTTTTCTATTTGATTTGGTGTAGGTGTAAGTGTGAATATCAGATTAAAAATCACATACACTTCCTGAGGAGGACATGCGAATGAGAATCATGTTTGTGTCATCCAAAAAAAGCCTTAATAAAACTAACATTTTATTCTTGGACCATTAATAATACTTATTTTGAAGCTAGGAGAATACTTCTGCTTCGCAATCTAGATATACAAATATGATTTTAACACAAACAAAGATTTCGACTATTGATTTGCTCGTTCCAATATAGTGATGAGCGTGAGGTAAATTATGCAAGCTGTTGTCACTGTTGTGAGCAGTTTTAGGGTTGTACATTACATATTAAAGCTCTACAGTAACATGGGTACTATAACGAGCGACACCATCTCGACGCGTATATGCATCTAATCTTTTCCGGCTGAGTCAGATCGCAAATATCCTAGACCGGGAATCAGTGATGATAAAATTTCTCTCAATAGGACAGGTTTGTCGTACACTGGGGTGACATAGGCAATTTGGGAGAGCTACGATTCTCACGTTTAAAGAATGCACCTTTACCGCTTTTTGAAAGTCCTAGTTTGCCCCACGCTCTGGCTCAAGCCTGAATACGCTAGTATGCATCCTTTTTTTACATCAAACGTAGCTGCTTTGTTCAGGTTTTATTCATGATATATCAATAATCTAGTAGCATTCCTGTTTTTTTCGCCGCTGTTGCGATTTCTAATCTTATTTTGGTTCTCGTTATTGCGGCCCGAGTGCTCGAACCTCTTTTATTTGTGTGTACCGGTGGAGAGGGTTCCGCAGAGTGATCCACAGTGGAATGTAATGGCTCTGTCCTCAATCAATTTCAGCTGTGGTCCGTATTCATCAACATCACTGGCAACTACTTTAGCAATGTTCTTGTTGTGCTTATCAATCTTGAACTTGAGTGCCCCAAACTTGCCAGAGCAGTCTACAACCTCACATACGTACGGGTTCTTCTCGTACTCTTCAGGGCTACATGGGTAGACGAACTCACCCTCGACCACACTGCGACCTATGACATCACAGGCCCCTACTTCATCAGTAGCCAGTCCACAGGCGAATGTAGGATCACAATGTCCTCCCACAGGGGGGCTGCCGGCCATGGCGCCACACTCTGCACCTACTCCCTGTCCTCCGAAGGGCTTGCCAACGTGAATGTGCCAGTTCATATTAATGCATTCACTCTCTTTGCAAGCGGCGTATAAATCGCTATCGGCATCAAAGATCTTCAAGTTGACGCCCCATTGATGCTGGCTCCCTGATCCTTGAACGTAGTAATCCCTTTTGCGGCACTATTATCAATGTTCATTGTGAGTTTGTGGATGGCCTGTGCAGTGGCAATTATCGCTGCGGTTGCGATGGTAGCTGTGAATTTCATATTTGCGGTTGTTGTGATGTGCAGTGGTCTATGATATGAACAATAAATTTGTGTTCATCTCAGTGTCTCTAGCTAGCCGTGCATGGTGTCTGATATTTTGATATGTCGTGCAATTTGACATTATTGGACCTTGTAAATAGTGAATACCATCATCCACTCAAATATTGTATGTACATTGACAATTTGTCAGGTGTAGTCTGAACAGTTAATATAAAATGCAGATCTCTTTTGAAATTTTTAGATTGCTATTTATTTAAAACAAGATTACTCCAGATATGTCGATAAAAAAAACAGTATTTTGTGCTTTCTCATTGGGTGAATATAGGTCTATATAATTTCTCTACAACTATTTTACTATTGCAGTTCTGTTACCAATATTGCAGTTCCCGTTTTTTGCCAACATGCCCGTAGCTTCCGGAATACTCAGTACAAGCACAATACCGTTATTTGCCGACATGCTCCTTGCGATTGCAGTTTGGGGAGTGGTTGTGGAGGGTATGGCAATGATCATGGTGGAGGTAGAGAATTATATCGTCGAGCGTATCTCCAATGGGCAAGACACCAGATCGAGGTGAGCGCCGCGAACGCGACTTGATATTGTCATTGTCTGTCTTTGTCGTCTTTTCCGGCCAAATCATCGTTTAATTTCGATTTTGAAATGCTTGTTGATAGCGAGGTAGGTAGAGTGCTACCTTTTATCCGCCAAGCAAGAAAAATCAGGTCTAATCAATAGTCACTGGAGGAAGAGTGATGTCAGGGTATGGGGTTAAGAGTTAAGCGTTCAGAGTTTCTAAACCCTTATGCACGCTAGCGCTACAGTTAGTGTTATCCATAAACGTCTTGCGAGAGAGAATCCATGTCTACATGAATATTTACTGTCCGTTGGAGGATTGAAATCAGGGTTTAGGTTTTTAAACCGTAATACTCCTTAACGCTATAGGTAGTGTTATTTATAAACATCTTGCGGAAGGACATGCACGTTTGCGAATAGACACTGTCCGCTGGAGAAGTGATGTCGACAGTATCAAATTACACTGTGGTTGTCAACAATTCTGATTGTCCACAATTCTGATTGTCCACAATTGCAGACAACATAAAATAGCTGCAAAGCACTTGAGCACTCAGTATATACTGAACTACGAGGCTATATGAGGGTTTGGGATTTGGGGTTTAGGGTACGGCTCCCGTGACCTTTCATACCAGTACACTGAATACCCAACAAGACCGCTTTATTCCGGCTGGCTCCGCAGTTTCATGCTATGTGGCTGAGTATGTCTCTGTGATACCGCGCGTTGCTATTGATCGGCATATCCTATACGATCCTATATATCGGCTACTTCTATACGTTTGTGGTGCTGCCGTCAACATTACCCATGCCCATAGTACTCATAAGATTGCTATCTGGCCCCCCGGGGTTTTCTGTAGTCGCATCGGGACCACTGTACGCCCTATTAAGTGTGCCGAGGGCAGCGTGATGTCATGATAAGTAATTGAAATCAGACTAAGTACTCGAAAATGTGCTCAAACTGATGGCCTATGTGAGCAGACATTCTCTAGTTCTACAAGGAATGAGCAAGACAGTCCTCTTGCACTGGCATGCACAACTCTTACAGCTACCACCTCACGCCATGTCTTTTAGAAGTGTTGTAGGGATGGGAAAGGTTTTATGTCATTGTCATACATCCCTGTAGAATCCTATAAAACAGAAGACTTTGCTTTTAGTACGACACTGTGGCTGACGGATAGTGAGACTTCGTATCGCTCACTGCCCAGTGCATGACCAAAACTAATATACGTGAACCATCTCCCCCATTCTGCAGGCTGCGAGTACCAAGACAGCCACCTACAAGGCAAGCAACCCTTGATGGAATCACACACAGACTCATTTATCTAATCGCGTGCAATGATCGACTATACGCTATTGTACACGTAACCCTTGATGGAATCACACACAGACTCCTTTGTCTAATCGCGTGCAATGATAGGCTATACGCTGTCGTGGGTGTAGTCTATCTATAGATAACCACATGGATGATAAGGAAGCGCGAACGAGTACAGATAGAGAGCAGAGCAAATTAGTGTTTACAGTAGAGTATAAGGTTGCCGAGATTCTGGGCAAACAAATACTAGGCATAGTTTGGGTGTCATGAGAACTGCTGGCTAATCAAAAACATCAAATATATGTACAATGTACAAGCTTACATATACACATTTGTAGAGATATATGTCCATACACGTACATGAGTACAAACGAGAATTCAGAGAGCCGCAAAATATACATAGACCTCGACTTACCAGAGTGCACCTTGGCCCAGCGCCAGCAGACAGAGGAAGATGATAGCTATGATATTCGAGAAGCCCAAACAGAGGAACATGGGGATCACCAGACTGTGCGGGATCAGGCAGAGCAGTACATAGGCAGTGAACATACGAATAAAGTAATTGTTGCGAGGGTACATTGGCAATGTCTCTATTCACTCAGAAAACGGTAGATCTTTAGGGAGTGTTAAAGCGCACTGCTGAACTGTGACTCTGTTCGCCGATGTGTGACCTTCCTATGTTTCACATCTTAAACTGAAATGCGAAGTACTGACAGGTGTTGCCTTACATAAAGTGTTGTAGAGACGCTGTAATCATTGACTCTACCACCTGCCGTGGTCCTGCGCCCGTTTAAGGGCATACAGAACCAAATAATTTCTTTTGTGCGAGAAGCAAAGAATTTCTTTTGCGCGAGGGCCTTCACCGTGAGGTTATAATATTGAATCTATTTGCCTATATTGACCACAAAAGGCAATGCCTGATGTCTGACACGACCTATGTTTACAACCGCCTGTAGACAACCAGATGAGCATACGAAGAAGACATATGAACAAAGGTGAAATGACTTTTTTTTTCATCGTCTATGCTGGCATCTTGATTGTAAACGGCGAACTAAGGCCGCTGTTTCTAGTATGTACTTACCGGCTTTCTGACAGGCAACAACTCTAAACTAAAGCCTAAAACACTAAAGCCTAAAACACTAAAGCCTAAAACACTAAAGCCTGAAACACTAAACCCTAGGCCCTAGCCTAGACTGCGTCAAGAATTCATATTGAAGCATGCACAAGCGAATCTCATTTCGCATATGGATGTACAATTCTGAAGGTATGGAAATCCGGCATGCGTGTGACGTGGCCCAAGATTGAGCTATGTATTACCACACATTAGGGAGAAACGGGCACGGGTGCGCGTCAGCGGAAGCACTGGGCAACGGTTTCAGAACAGATGTACACGGTTGCTACCCGGAGCAAGATACCGAACATACCAAAAGTAAAGAATCACTTTCATCCAATTTTTCAACGGTTTCGTAAAATTATGCACTCCCACTCCAATATCGAACGCTTTGTAAATAAGGGGGGCCTCCATGAACATGACGCAGATGCCCACCAAGCTGAGCGCAGGAGCAAAATATAGGGTGTGTCGATACTGTGAGAATAGCACACAAATACACAAAAAATTCTGTATGATACTCAGTACTCAGATGCTTCCCACCCGAGCGACCGCGAATTATAGTATTACAATCTTCAGTGAGCTTCCGCAGAAGATGTAGATATAAAATGTTCATACGGCAGACAACGTTATAAAACAAATGACAATCAAAAAGAAGTAGTGGTTAACAGCCAATTCAAAGGCGACGAGGTACGTAGGCGGGTGGGATCTGTACAGCCACCGTCCCCTGCATACATCAGGAACAGAGTCGAGTTACACATACATAGCTCACGCTTCTTTACGTCCCCCGAGGACAAAAGTATGAGTGAGCACGTGCTGTTTCACAGATGCGTGCCTAAGCTCGGGTTAGATGAACCTACGAGTCGATTACGTATACATATGTGTGTGCCTATATGAACGTATATATCGGATACGCATTCGCTTGATTGTTTGGAGACGTAAAACTAGTTGAAAATTAAATACAACAACACATTCAACGGGGTACAGAACGTTGAGTAACTTATCACCGCGTGAGCACGACAAACTGTCCGCCAAAAGTTTCCATATCACATAACCACTCATGCACACATATAATTTAAGACAACTTGCTTATCACTATCATGACAATACACTAATCTCTAGAACTTAGACAATAATACATGAATTTATCCCCTCTATCATTCTTCAACCTCTACGAATCAACTTACATGATGTAGACGCCGACCAGGATGCACAGCACCGAAACTGAGATACAACTGAGAATGCCGCATATTACCAGACCTGAAAGAAAGATTAGAGAACATGTATATCGTTACTGACACGCACGATATATATATATATATATACATATATATATATGTATGTATATATATATATATATATAGTATATATGTATATATATAT